TGGTCCCAACAAAGAGCCATGCAACATGTTTAACTCGTGATACAAGCTGATGTACTGGTAGAGTGCAAGATTTATAGATATTTCTAGATATATTTAAAAGATCCTAACTTGAAATAAATTTTTATGCTGAAGGCAATAATAGCTTTGTTTATACAAAGTGGGGTGAGATGCCTCCACCTATAGGTACTTTCTTGAACCCAGGTATCTCTGTTACTGGAGAATGTAAACACATAATTTAACAATAGCTGTTAAACGCAGAATGGTCTCTGGACCCCCCACTCCATTCTTGGCTTGCCTTTTTTAACCTCTAGCTGTACAACCCAGTCATCAGAAAGTGCTGTCTGAACGTTGGGATTGTTTTATTTTTATAAACACAACGTACAGTAAATTCACTAGTTTCTAGGTGCATCCTGTAAGACTTCATGTAGTACATTAATAGCCATTTGGTAAGCCTGATAATTATTTTTTTTAATGAATATTCAGTCAACACTCTGAGTTATGACTGGTTATAAACATAAATAAAGCTGCTTTTGTATGCTTCAGCAACAGTGATGACAAACCACTGTGCTGCTTGTGACTAGCTAGAAGACTGTGACACATTCTCTGGAAACTGAATTATGTAGTAATTCATACTTGTGTGCTCTCTAAACTTGCTTATTGTAATTCCTTTGTCTAGGCATGAAGCCACACATCTAAGGGACCTGATTAGCACATAACACAGTTGCTGGCTGCATGGTAGGCTGGCAGAATACTGGGTCCCTGCTACTCTTGGGGTACCTTGAATTTTCATAAGTGCATTCCTTTGCAAGATTTTCTCTGCTTTGGAGTCTTTCTCATCTTTCTTTCCTGATTGTGATACATTACTGCCATGATGTTCCACTGAAGTGGGGGGGCTGGAAAGAATAGGAAACCATGGCTTTAACGGTGGCACTCAGAACTAAATTCCTTAACTCCCAGGGAGTTCTTTGCCAGTGGGTAAGTGCTTTCCTTTTTTAACTGCTGCACATAAGTGCCAAATTCACTTGTGAACTCGTGCCATGTTTCATTCAGGCATGGAGGGAAGATGATCTATAAACAATTTTCAGAATTTTAAAACATAATGTGAAAGTAAATGCTTCCCAATTGAATGCTAAAAAGTTAATTGTGTGCAGTTCTGTCTCTAAGGTCAGATTTTGTTCTGAGAGTTTAGAAGGTTAGTTTTGTGGTCTGTTTTACCACACAAACCTACCAGGGCAAAGACAAATAAATATTCTAGATTAGTACTCTGTGAATAAATGTGGAAGTAGCTTCATTTTGGTTTGGTCTGATTTTGCTTAGTTTGAAATAGATAGTTGCTTGCAAAATCTTATAAAGCTAGTATTAATTTCACAAGCTTTAGCAATACACTATATTCTTCCATTTTTTCAAGACCCTTCTTCGAACTTTAGAACCACATATGAATTTTAAGGCACCACCACCAAGAGTCCTAATGTCAATTACTGTTGTAATTGTCACATTTGAAACTCTACTTCATCCTCTTTACAAATATAAACGAACCCAGAATACCTCCCTGGCTTCTCAAATAAGTAAAGTTTATTTGAAGCTCACACACTCACTAGTATTCTGTTCCTGAAGGTATTAGACAACATTAGAGAGCTAGGGATGACTGCAGGAGCAGTTGTAGCCTCTGGCGGCTGGCTTCTTCTCACAGCTGTTCATTCCAGGAGTCTCATTGTGCTGCTCTCTCCTTTTTTTTTCTCTGATGTTCTTGTGGGTAAGAATCTTCTCGGGGTACTCACATGGTATGTGCTCCAGCCGTAACTTCATTTTCAACCCTAACATTTCCATAATAGTGTGCTCTCTGCATAGTGTGGGTATCAATAAGGACCTGCTTGGCTAAGGGTATTTTAGGGTGATAGGATGGTGGTGGCCAGGAAGTCAAAAATAGGTGACAAGACTGTTGTACTTTCTTTTTTGGAGAGGCTGTGCATTGTATGCACATATCACTTGCCAAAGGTATTATTTCACTCAGCATTACCAGTCTTTTCTTAATCAAGCATTTTGTCATAACATGCAAATTTTGAGCCTTTTTTTTTTGTTGTAGTAGTAATAAGAATTTTTATTGAGTAAAACTACATGTATTTCATATTCAACTAACATGTTAACATACAATCTAGGTGACAGTTTTAGGCCCATATTAGGAAACTTGGAATAATGACTTCTTCAGCAAATATAGATGTATTCAAAATCTTATTATCTTGAGAGCTTCATGTAATCCATAGCAGGCTGAATGCAAACTCTACAAAAGAACCCCTGATTCTCTAGTGTTCTGGGCTGGAAACTCTGGTTCCTTCACTTGCACCAATTATTGGCTTACATATATGAAAAATAAATTTTAGTTTAGTAGCATTATACCCACATCTGTGTAATGAATTGCATAGCCCATGCTAAATAGTTCAGTGTCGGTTGGGGGATATGTTGTTGTCATTGAGCTGTAGAGTCACATATAACAGCAGCACAGTCATTATCAGACAATACCCAAAGGCTTTGAGTCTTCAGTCCATGGAATTGTTGGGACTCCCCTGTAAGAGTGGTGGAGGTGTTCTTGGATTGTGAGGAAGTTGATCTGTGTGATTACTTGACAGCTGCACTTTGTGTACAAAAGTGCAGCTTTTGTGTACAAAAGGATTGGGTCCTTACCTTAACAGTTTCATTGAAGACGTTAGTAAGATCTTTAGAAGTAACATAGGATCATAGAATGATTTGGGTTGGAAAGGACCTTAAATATCGTCTTGTTCCAACCCCCCTGCCAAGGGCAGGGACACCTTCCACTAGGCCAGGCTGGTCAAAGCTCCATCCAACCTGGCCTTGAACATTTCCAGGGATAGGGCGTCCAGAACGTCCAGTACCAGTACCACTCTCACAGTAAAGAACTTCTTCCGAATAGACTGGACTGGGCTGGACTGGAATGGAATGGTTAGGGTTGGAAAGGACCTTAAGATTTTCTGGTTACAAACCCCCTGCCATGGGCAGGGACACCTCCCACTAAATAGGCAGTCTATGTCCCTCCTGTGCTGAGCGCTCCACAGCTGAATGCAGTACACCAGGTGGGAACTCATGGGAGCAGAATAGAGGGGGAGCATCACCTCCCTTGAACTGCTGGCCATGCTTCTTTGGATGTGGGCCATAAAGAAAAAAAAAAAAAGTAGTATGGTCCATGCTTTACTGCCGTAGGAGTTTGTAATTTGCATTGCTACTTGTGACTGTAGCTGTTTACTTCTCCTTAAGTGTTACATGTGCCTACAGACTGGGAGGATCAGGAAAATAATTTCTTTGGATTACATTTGAACCAGGTGCTAGAGGGCTTTTGTTTTAATTGCGAATTTGTTATGGAAAACAATTTAGCCAAAAGGAGAGGTTCAGTGGAAAAATCTGCAACAGGCTATACATCCCTGTACTACCCTGCGTTTAGCAGTATTATTGCAGTTTCAGCAACTGCTTCTGTGAAAAACTGATGTTAGAAAAGCATTTAATGTAAAATTAGAAGTGGATTAATGCAAATTATGAGCCAGGAATAAGAAGGAAACATCATGTTACTCATGTGCTCTTACCAAACCTCAAGCAAATGCTTTAAAAACCACAGTTCAGTTTTCTGTTCCAACTTTTCAGATTCCAGTATGTGATTGTTTCTCAACCAACTTGGATGCTGCTGTATTTTTCCTCTTGGTTTCAAGAGGTCAAAGAAAGAACAAACTAAGAATGATCTGAAAAAATTAGAGACTTTTATGTGAATACTGGTGAAGTTGTGATTACAAGTAGAAATCTGCTTAACTCAATCTAGTAAGGGTTTTTTGTAAACTTTTAGTAATTTTTTCCCTCAGTGAATTGTCTCGAAGACATATTTATTGTTATGTGCAATTTTTGAGCTGTCATTCCAAGTCCGCAAGTAATAAAACCATAACAACCACCGAAATAATAGTTAAGTTATGTGGATTTGTAGCATTTCAATTGATGAGTAAACCATTCCGGTATATTGGCATTTGGCCACTTTGCTATGTAATAGTGTTTCTTATGAAGTATTGCCATAGCAACAGATCTGGATGACATTGAGTAGCTGGTTGCTGCTGACTGTTGGAAATAAAGCAGACTTTTAGCAACACATGTGTAATGTCTGAAGGTAAAGTAACCCAAAATAAATGCCTGTGCTCTACCGAGAATGTAGTATGGGGCACATCAAGCCAAAGTCTGACTTACTGAGTTATGAATTGAATCCTTCTGTGAAAGTGTTTCTGTACAGTAAAAACAAACTCATGTATGTTAGTAATGTGTGCAGCAGTTGAAATCGGTGAATAAAATAAAGGAAAACTGAGAGAAACTGTATTGCAGATGATTTTGAGCAAAAAAATATCAGTTACTTTAAAGGCTTTAAGACTTCTAGTACTATAGGAAATGCTTTTGGATGGGTAATTTCAACGGAAAAGCTTTTTGGGCAAAGAGGGTTCAGTGAAGATTAAAAACTTCAGTTGCTCTCCTGAAGAACCAGCAAGTGAAAAAAGGCATAAGAAGCAGAAAATGCAATTAATTCAAATGAAGCTGAAACCTTTTTTTAATTAACAGACTTTTATTTAGAACTGTATTTCTTGGTTACTAAGTATTTGTTATGTAACACAGCCAGTTTAAAATTTAACAGAGGGTTTAGATCAATATAGCAAAGTAATATCTTTAGATACAGGGATCGTCACAAGTCCAGCAAAGGCAAAAACCCTGGGGAAATATTTTTTTCTCTCTCTGTTCATTACAGATGATGTTCATAAGTCCACTTCAAAGAGAGAAAAATACAGTCACTCTATGTATCTTAGCAGGTCATAGCAGAATTTACTCTCACAGTAGCATTATATTGTGCCTTCCAAATGAAGTCCTACATTAAAGTATAGAACACTTTCAAGATTGAAATTTAATTTTCTGATAGTCTAATAGTCAGTTTGTCTTTTTTCTTTTCCTTATTTTTTTTCGTTCTAAAGATAAAAATACAGACATTACTGTAAAGGATAATATGGATGATTTCGGCCTTCGAGATACATTAAGCATTGCATCAACAGACTCCTTTGTTTCCACAGCTGAGGTAAGACTCTTAAAGATTGTTTCTTTAAAGTTTCATTGATCTGTTTGAATAGTGAATAGAAGAATCTTTTTTTTTTCTTTTTTTTTTTTCCTAATTATTATAAGCAGAATATATTTCTCTTATGGGAAAACTAGAAATTTTCCTTGCTTAGCTGTAACCAGCTTCCTAGCAGTTTGAGTTATGAAGTTGGGATCGATTTGCCTTTATTCTTTCCCCTTTTTCTTTTTTTGCTCTATGCACTGGCAGGATGCTTCCCCAGCTCTTTCTGAAAAGAAGTTGCTTTTGAAAAATAGATTTTCATGAGTGAAGAAGCACAATCAGTTGAGGCTATAGCAGTTCCTTTCACCATGAATTGCATTTTTCTACTCTCATTTTTTTCCTGCTGCTTTACCCTAATATAAGGATGTGTGAAGAAGGCTTTGTCTTTTTTGGAGTTAGTTTTTTTTTCCCAAGAGGAAATAATTAGACATTGGCAGCTACCTATTTTAGTAAGTGCCATGCACAATATAATATACTAAACCAAACTTTCCCTAATCTTCTTGGATAAGACCACAAAGGGTGCATAAAGAAATAATCTTGGATCACAGGGCATTGTCTATTAGCTGATATCTGCTGCAGCTCCCTTGAAGTATTTGAAAGAATTTTATATACAGCAACAAACTTATTTGAATGAGGAATATCTCCTTTTATAGTCTCTCAGAAGCTGGAGTGATCTTGAATAGCACTCTTCTCCAAATTGCAGGAAAGGCAATTGGTCTCAATAGATATGCTTTGTGTTAGATATTGCTTTCATACATGCACTACAACTAAGCTACTAAACTTAGTTGTAAGAAGAGATGTGCATACGTGTTCTTTGCAATTACCATTTTGGCTGTCTATTATATGGTTTGTTTTTTCCAAAGCACAATTACCTTGATTTAGTAATTCACATTAACTTGTGATTATCTTGATTTAGTAATTCACATTAAGTTGTGATAGTATGCCTAGCATTCATTTCTAACAAAGACTGTGTCTATAGAGACTGGTTAGTCTTGCCTTCATTTGGACAAGACCACAGTTCAAGCTTGCTTCAACTCTTACCAGCTCTTGGGAGGAGCTGTAAACAATTACTGTTTGTACACTTGGTATCTTTTGTGTTTTCTTTTCCCCATGAACTTTCCTAGTGTTTTTGCAAGTACATGAAGATAAGAACAATCCATTATGCTCATTTGTGGGTTTTGGCTTAAAAAAAGACAAAATAAAAAACAAAGCCCAGAGTGTATCACCTCAGTATAATCACCATCCTGTCCCAAATCTGAATTGTCTCAGTGTTTGATAAAGAAATGTTTGTGTCAAAATTGGCAACAGAATCGTATTTACATATCCTGAAAAATATTCTGAACATTTTGATACCTCAAAGCCACTTCTGTCAACTCTTTCTTCCAGAACAAAATTATGAGGATTTTCTCTTCCTTTCCAGCTCTTGTAGCCTTTGCCAATAGAACAAGCCCTCTGATCTCCTTTCTCAGATTTTATTGAAGAATCTATTAAAATTCTCAGTTGATAGGAGCCCTGAGCATTAAGAAAGCTAAAACCAACTTGAAGTTTAGTGTTCAAACCAGAACACCAGCAAAATTTTGGATGAAATATGAATCACTAGGCTTAAACCACAGGGCCAGTTAGTTCTCGGGTAGTAGCTACTGAGGCATCATTGTGTGGCACAGGTAGAATAAAGCTGTGAATTGGTCTTCCCTTATGAATATAGTGTTACATTGATGTAAAGTTTTTTCCATCCCCTGGGGGAAAAAATGCTTTGAGTTAGTACTGCAAATAACTATGGCAATCAGAGAGTAATAACCACTTCCCAGTGTATTTCAGCTGTAAGTAAAGAACAGTAATTGCTTTAATGTAACTGGATTAGAATTGACATACCAGATGTTTCTGTTCTAGACTTGATGATGACAGGTAGCTTCTTGCTTATCTACTTCTTTCATTTTTATTCTTTCATTTGCAAAAAAGTGGAATGTTTCAGGCTAAGAGGTCTGAGGCTTTTTCAGGTGTGGATTTGTCTCAGCTCATGGACCAATAGGCAGTTGTTCTTCTGTCCTGTTCTCCCTGACTGCAGTTACAGTTTAAGTGATCTCCTGAACTCTTGTGTGCTGATGGAAATGTTTAGCGACGTTTTTAAATCTGAAATTCATACATGTGTGTATGCTGCCCTGTGATTTTGCCCTACTGAAATCATTAGTGATTTCACCTTCTGGGAAATTACAAAGTAGCAGCATTTTCTGTGGTCACATTTTCTTCCTTCTACATTGCATCCTGTCCCCAGCAGCAGGGCTAAGACTCCGGTTTTTGAGACTGGAAGCCATATTCACGTTTCAGTGCTGACGCACAGTCAAGTCAAATTTAGTTCACTGCCCTCAGGAAGGATAACAGCAAAGATACAGGGAAACCTAAAACAAAACAAGGATGTTTTGATGGAAATTAGTAGGAATACTGCTTAGGAGGCAACAGGAATGTTGTCCTGTGTTATGTTAGGACAAAACATAGGAAGATGGCATTCAAGAAGAGAACTGTGCAAAACTGGGACAGTTGGCAGAGCTTAACTCGCATGCCCTTTTGATGAGCTCTACAGGATAGCAGCAGGGTATTCCAAAACTTCATCTTGACAATGGATGATAATCAAGAGGATTCTGAGGATCATTCACTTGATGATTTCTTAAACAGAATTGTACCAGTCTGGACACCTACAATACCCAGGTGTCTGCTGAATCCCTATAAAGATGAGCCAGACATACAGTTACCATCCCCAAACCAGACAGATTTCTGTTCCTAAATACATGGAGGCTCTTGGAAGCACCACGAAAGGGATGGTAAGCACAACCATTTGCCCTAATTAAGTTACTGATACCATATACTGTGATAAATAATGGTATTTTCTTCCCCATTTTAGGCCATCTGCCATCAACTTATGTTTGAGGGTTAGTATTCTTTTCATATTCTTGCTGTCTCATCCACTGTGTGATCAAAATACCACCACCTTTGGCAAGAATACAGCAGTGAGTGTGCCAGATAAAGGTCTCCACCCTCTCTTTCCTGGCTTCTTTTCCATCTTTCCAATAGAAGCTCTTTCCTGCTCTCCCTGACAGTGAGCTTCATTGCTGCCTCTCTGTTGTCAGTGCCCATGCATTTATCATGTCTTATTTTCATATCTTGACCAGAACTGAATCAGTAGTTCTATTATCAAATAAACTTTGCTTTCTTTATCAAAAGCAGAGCAAAGGAGATTTGTTGATTTGTGAATAAAGCCTTAGCTTCTCCGTTCTTTACAAGTAATTCCTTTACTAAAGTTGTCTTTTTCTCAGTTCAAATCTATTAAAACAAAACAGTGCAGGAACAAGCAGGCTTTGATAACAGGAAAAGAACACCAGTTTCCATATGCCTGTAATTATTTGGATATGGCACCAAAACCTTCAAAGTGTGTTATGCTGAATTTTAGATTCAGAAAGTACTCAAAAATAACCCTATTAATGAAAAGTAGGGTTACCCTTTTCCTGGTTTCTCAGTAGATGTTTTATTCCATTCCTGAATACGAGAGGGAGTAATGCAGTCAAGTATTAGTATCATGTGTTCCTACAGCATTTTTAAATGAGATTTTTGGTGGTTTGGGTTTTGGTTTTTTTTGTATTTCACCACAAAAATCAGAGATAAGCCTTGCTGTGTTCTGACTGCCCTCAGAATTGTGACCATAATCACTGATCGGATCTTCTCAGGACTTGCTGTTCTCATCCTGGTCACTTCCTCCATGTTTATGTCACCTGCCCAATTTGACAGGAATTATTGTCTTACCTAAGAAACAAATGAAGTACAGCAGTTCTGTAGTCTTAGCATGCCCTGGGATTGTAAGCAGCTCCTTATTCTAACAACTTTAATGAGGTATTGAGATGCCTCATATTTATAGTCTTAAAACCTGTGAAGAGAGGGAAGAATTAATCCCAAATCCTTTCATTCTGCTAACAGTAATACTATTTCTTTGAAAAAGCTGTACCTGAAGTGCTCCTAACCACTGCCTACTACTTTGGCCAAACTCAAAAGATTTTAGGGTGTCTGCTGAAGCTTGATACCCAGTAATAAAGCTTGCCCATATCATCATCAGAGACTTTCCGCTTCCCAATAATATCAGTGGTGCTATAGGCAACAGAAAAGTTCTGTTCCACTTTGAGAAATGTCTCCCATTCCTATGTCCTGTCTGACAAATTCCTGAAACTTCATGCTTCATTTCTGTTGGATTTTAGGGTGTTTTTTCTATTATTTGTGTTGTGCATGCTTATAGATGTTGCTGCCGTTGAAAAGATTCCATTATGGAGAAAAGTTTTCCAGGTGGCAATGAAGAGTGTCAATGGGAACCAGGTTCTTTTAATTCCACCAAGGACAGCTGTGATTGCTTTCTGTATGGCTATGAATAGAACAACTTAGATCAACAAATCATTAAGTGATGCTCTAAAAGCTTTAAAATTAATAATAAAATTTACAATTCTGGGGTTGGTCCTGAAATCCTAGCGTTGTATGGTATTTACATAATATACTAAATGTTTTCATTTCTAGGACATGTAGGAGTTTCCTCTAATAACCACTGTGTTCCTATATGCTGACTGTTTATACTATACAGGTTTTATTTCTTAGAATATATATGCAACATTTGTAACAAATCCCATGTATTAGCACTGAACTAATTGTTGTACCATAATACATCTTTGTAGGCAATGTGTAGGCAAGTGCCAGACACAGCACGTAGCCCAGTATTGTTCCACATGGCAAAGAGTAGTACCACCACTGATGCACACAACATAGTGAATTTACTTTCTTCGTTATGCTTAAAATTAATAAAGTTGCAGTAATAATTCAGATAAAATAATGTTCTGGATGTGTGTTTTCCTCAAAAAAAAGGATATCAGGTGTCTTATATACAAGTAATTATAGAGTTCATGAAAATACATTAATTTCCTTCCTGTTTTATTCCAGATAATAAGAATGCACCACTTTATTGTTGCAGTTTATTGAAGTACTGTCTCAAATGTTTTAGTTGGCAATCACCATCACATGTTTAACTCCTAGAACATGTTTCACACTCATTCTGCAGCTAATCATGTTTAAAATATATATATATTAAAGGATATAAATGCCCAGAGAAGAGTGATCATCAGGCTTTTTAATATAGGCTAAGCATAGTTTCTCAGAATGCGAGGAATGCTGACTGTGCCAGTAAATTGACCTGTTTATTAGTGGGAGCAAGCAAGAATTCCAAAAGGTCTAGCAATGTTTATTTTTGTTACATTCAAGTGGGTGGTTATTTTGGTAGCCAACAAGATCTTGATGCACAGCTGAGAATTTTTTCTATTTATTAAGAAGCAACTTGTGGGTGACAAATAAGAGTGCTGAGTCTGGTCATTAGACCAAAGCAGCCAGGGAATCCCAAGCTTAAAAACTATAGCAAGTTCTAGAGGTTTGATGCTTTACAACAGTGGTTGCAGCATCTCTTAACTAGCAGATGCAGCTGTAAAGCTGAGCTGCCCAGAGAAAACTGATTAGCATCTGAACAAAACCAGCCCATGTTGTAATCCTTGAAGGCTGTTTTCCGTCACTGTGTAGAGGCACAAGTTATCACTACAAGCTTTGGAGTTTTGAAGATGTACGTAGTATTTCAACATAATGAAGTTAGGTATCCACTGGAGGTCATCATAAATGTCCCATGCAGTGGTCACCAACACTATCTTTCCTGAGCCTAGAACGGATAGAAGTAAACCATTACAAGACCAGATTGCCAGTATGGATAATTCATTTTTTTCAGCTCTTCTTTGAATACATTTTCATATTCTTCTTCATGTATGACACTGAGGAAATAGCAGACATTTAGAAGCTGGCACGTCAGGTCCATTATCACAAGCCTTTGTTACTTGCAGCTACCAGCACTTTTGGTAGCTGTGCATGAAGCCCTTTTTCATCCTTAGTGGTGTGTTAAGAATTTCAAAATGGTAGTGGCTGTGCAAAATGTTCGCTACAGAGTGGCAAGAAAGGACTCAAGGAGCTCTCAAGAGTCCAACTTACCTGTGGTGACAGGATGTGGGATGCTGGGGCTTTCTGCTAACTTCTGATAAATTCTGAACTGCTGTTGAAGAAAGTTATGTGGTGCATAGGGAAACACAGTGCAGCAAAAAGCATGTACTTGAATATATATATATATATGAAGGTATGCCAATTGATATAAGGCCATTACAGGGAACCAGCTCTTTCAAAATGTACCTTTCTCTCCACATTTTTTCTCAAAGGTAACAAGTTGTTGGAGACTTTTACAACAAAGAGTTAATTTTCCTTTTGATGTCAGCTTGAGAGGCTCTTATCTAGAAAATGTTGTATGCTCTGCATGTTGTTAAACACTGTATATAATTTGTCCATTCTTCTGATAGCTGAACTCTGCTATGTTAGTAACGTGGATGTGTGTTCTGAGCGTTTTCAACTAATTTTATTTTGAACCAGGATGCTTTTGTAGCAAGCTTTTGCCTTATTTCATCTCGAAGAGAATAGCCATTACTGAATGTTTACAAAACCATTTTAAAATATAACACTGTATGTTACATATATATATACTGTTTGTATCTACATATAAAATATTGACATATAATATATTTTTTAAATACCAGAAAGCATCAAAAGAAAATCCATGATGACTCCAGGAGCATTATGATGCAGCTTCAGAGCTTGTCTGGAAATCACCTTTTGTAGCTAAACTTAGAGGTCATTTTAGTTTCTGGTTTTTGGTTTGGTTTGTTGGGTTTTCTTCCTTTCCTTTTTTTGCATGCCAAAGTCAGTGATAGAGGAATTTGCACCCCCTTTCCAAATGATGTTGGTTGGAACTAACTTCGCTCTGTAATCAAAACCATCTCCTCAGTGGAAGAAGTTATACCCTTCTCTGTTTAGTAGCCTGTTGATTTAACTGCTTTCTTCATTTGAGCACAGTAATATGCATTTCAGCAGTTACACAGCTACTTATTTCATTTGCCAGCATGAGAGGAAGTTAAAAAAAAAAAAGGCTAGATATAATCAAGGGCCTCATTCAACTCTTGGGTATCAGATTCGATGTTAATCTGTAACCACAAAGGCTACAATCAGGCATCTTCATGTGCTAAACTGTTACCATCTTCAGCTTGCTGGCCGCAGATGAACATTACCTGCATCTGACTCTGGAAATTAAGAGTCCTAATTTAGTCACAGTCAGTTTGCCTAAATGCCTGAAGAAGGTGATTTGCCAAGAGTTCTCTACAGAAAACAAATATAATCCCTTTTACCACAGAAATTATAACCTTCAAGAGAGGGACAGCTGTTTACAAAGTGCCTATGTGTGCACAACTTATTTCTTCTCATGCTTTACAAGTGAAATAAACAGAATGTTTTATGGCTTCTCTAATAGCTGGATCAGGTAAGAAATTAATATCCTTATTTGTATTCTGGTTTGGTCTTTATTTTGGAAAATTTTTATGTATTATTTCACTGTTTCCACTTTTTTAACCATAATGTAGAAAACTAAATTCTGGAGTAAAGATTTTTCACTTTGTTTTGTTTATACCTGTTTTAACTATTACACTGTATATACATGTGTATATATATGTATGCGTGTTATATGTATGTGTCTGTTTGTATAATGATTTCTTATATCTGAAAGAAATGAATACATTCCTGTTTCTTCCACTTGATTGAATTATTAATTCCTATACGGTTCAGTTAAAAGCTGGGTGGCTTCTTTTGTTTAAATTTGTTTAAAAAAGTAAAGAACATCAGTTTTCAGGTTGGCTTTTTTGAATTAGTAAATCCAAAACACAGTTCAGTGCTATGATTAATATTGTTAAATTGGGATAAAAACTTTGGTCTTCATAGTTGGAAATCTTTTTTAGGAACTCAGCTTATTCTACTCTGTTCTTCCAAGCAAAACAACTGATAAACAAATACATACTTTCAAAATGGATATACTTTCAAGCTAGATGAAATCTAAAAGTGTACCTTACTCATTTAAGTATGATATTTTGCTGACCTTAAAGCTTTTATTCCTACACTCCCTAGCTGTTATCACTAGAGTCTCAGTTTGAGAACTCTGGAGAAATCTGTATAGGAATAGAGATGTTACTTTTTTTTTACCCAAGCAAATCAATTTAAAATGGGTCCTGACAATTTTATGAAAGGAACTGTATGTATTTGCTTGTGTAAAAAGATACTGGTACAAGTGATTCAAAACATCTGTGCTGAAATCTCTGTAATACGTTCATGTGCTTAAATGTTTACATGGATATAAACAGGTACTGGCACTTGTTTATATTCTTCCCTTTAGCAGGCAAGCCTGCTTGGCCAAACTGGTGTTGCTGTAGTAGCCTCAGTTGAAGTCTGTAGAGAAGACACACTGGAGGCACACTCAATATCTTTATGAAGTCTCATGCCAGAACTTGCCTGTATGTCCTCAGTGACAGGAAAAACTTTTCAGCATGTATTTATTTTAAAATTTTAATGGAAATTTAGCATCAACTTATATTTTTAATCTGATTTTTTTAATCTTTCTGGTTTTATATGGGCCAATTACTGTGAGAATTTTATCTCATAAGATCTTTCTAGGCTCTGTTATGATAGCCTAGAAGCACAGGTTGTTTCCCCCATGCAGGATATTCAAAACTAAAAAAGAGGGGGGTGTTAAAAAAAGTTAGAATTCATTTTCTGATCATTAACGAAACTGAAAGATGACTTTTTTTTTTGGACCCTTAATAATATGATGTCATGTTCGTAGTGGAAATTGTAGCTAGCCATTATTTAGTAGATTAAATATGATATCCTGTAAACAGGCGTTCTCTATATTATTTACATGCTTTGATTTCATAACCTGATTTTGTTTTTTTCTCCCTCTAAAAATGTCTATGAGTTCACATTATTCTATCTCATAACCGCAGAATTAAAACTGCTGAAAATTAACACATTTTTGAGAGCCTGTAGCAGGATGCTGAATGCTCATGCTTCATACAATATGCTTTGGTAACTAGCAGACATATCTACTAGGGAGACAAAAACAGAAGTGGAAGGATGTTACTATTTCCAGCTTCCTAGAGCTTTGCATGGTTGTTCTGTACTTTGTGTCCCAACTTTTGGGGGGTTTTTAGCAGCTTTGAGACCCATTAGATTTAACTAGGCAAATTAGAAGTGCAACTAGGCAAATTAAAATCAGAACTAAGCTGCCTCCATTTAATTAATTAAACTTTTGAAACTTAAAATCTGAAACTATAGCTTTCAGATTTTAAGTTATGTAATAATTGTGGTGTTTCTCTTCTCTTTACTGGTTGAGTGTTCCCTTTTTGTTTTAAGCAGATGCAGAAAAGGTTATATCTTTCAGTAGAATATCAGGAAAACTTCTTTGATTTACCTTTACAAAAACTGTGTAAGCAAGCTCTTTAATGATTTCAAAAATATTTTGTTTCAGCTTACAGAGCACAGAGAGATTCGTAATACATACGGTCTTGATTCCCTTTGCCATTGCCCGTTGTATGAAGAAGCTATGCACTTAGCAGAAGAAGGCAAAATTTATTCACGAGTGTTAAGGTACTGATTTACCTCTACTTAATTATTTCTGTGAAAAGCAAGAATTAAATTTAAATGTACTATACCAAACTCAGTTTTTAGAAGTTACTTGTACGAGATATGTTTTCTGGAATTAGACTTAGTTGAGTTTTCTTGTGCTTCCCATTTTTCACGGTATTTGAAAACTTTTCTGTTTTATATAGGACTGAAATGTTTGAATGTCTAGGAGACAGTGACTTCCTTGCTAAGCTTCACTGTATTCGACAAGCTTTTCAGGTAAAGGAGAGTGATTTGTTTGTCTGTCTTAAGCCTGAAGTATGTGGAGGTTATCAATGCAATTTTTATAACATATGCTGTAATTAATTATTTTATTGTTGCTATTACATTTCTGTCATTCTAAAATTTGCAGAGGAGTCCCAGTTTTATGATTAGCTTTGTAACCTTTGCACCAAAAGCTGATTAGGAATTGGCCTACTATGCTAGAGGTTATCATTATATTAAATTTGATTGAAGTGTTTAAGGTCACTTAGTATAACCTGTGAATTAATATGTCTGTTTTTTCTGAACCTTTTCTAGGTAATTCTTTCAGAGACAGCAAACAGAATATTTCTTGCTGAAAGTGGAAGAAAAATTTTGTCTGCTTTAATTGTGAAAGCACGAAAGGTAAAAGCCTTTTTTAAGTAACGTTTCATTGTTTATGCAACTTCTACCAGAACTCACTTTCCAGTGAATATAAACCATGTCTTTTGTGAAGTTTGCTTGATATTCATTGCTTTTACTTTACAGAATCCAAAGAAATTTGAAGATGTGTTTGATGAAATGATATATTTTCTGGAACAAACAGATCACTGGGATAATACTGAAATGGAACTTGCTGCTACAGGAGTGAGTCTGAATTTCTGAAAAGTGCATCTAAAAATGACTAACATCTAAAAAAAATGAAAAACATCTAAAAATGAATTTTTACAGTTCCGAATGGTGGGAAAGGCAGTTTTTTTATGTTTACATTGCTGATTTAGAGAAATGGCATCCACCACTGTAGTTTAGTACCAGATAACATGTAATATTTTATCTTCTCCTTTACTGACAAAGTAACTTTAATATTCATTAAAAGCAATTATAAATCTGCATGTTAATACAGAGTTAGAATGTGGTGAATGCTGAATTCCACTGCTGAAAGAGAAACTAGGTCATGTTCTGATTTAATATAGGTGAAAAACCTGAATTTTTATGATGTTGTTCTGGACTTCATACTGATGGATTCATTTGAAGATTTAGAAAATCCACCAATATCTATACAGAATGTAGTAAATAACCGCTGGCTAAATTCCTCTTTTAAAGAAACAGTAAGTATTTATGTGTCATTTTCGTAGTCATTATTCTATAGACATTAGAACAAGTAGATGGTATGATAAATGTAACGTTAGTGTGAGCATTCTGATATAAAATTTCTGTATATACCACAGCTGTTCTTATGGCAATCTCTGCTTTATATTCGTAAAGCACAATGTAAAAATGAGCATAAATCCAGCAACTACAGGAATCAGACTGTGTATGTTGTCTTGATAATTAAATTAATAATAAAAGCATTAATTTTGAAGCAAAGAAGCTACATCGACCTTCACTGTGAAGTCTAATGCAGCTTCCAATACAGCTGAATAGGTACCTGAAATATTTCTCAGAAAAAATAAGCAGGTTGTATTATCAGGTTATTCATAATAGCAGTTTAAAAGCTACAAGTCTGAGCCCAAAATCTATAAAATGATTGAATGTATTGGAGAAACACTTAAACTCATTTTTGCAGGACAAGCTATCTCTGAGGAAGTGGAATTTTAGAAGGGAAGTTTCTGTTAGCCGTGTTTGAGGTATTGGAGGTTTTGAGTCATATACCAGAGATTTAGCAATAAGGCACAAAGTTGCAAGCACACAAAAGTAAATTAATGAAATACAGGCATTCAAATGTTGATAACATTTCACGCTTTCAGATGCGCCTATTTGCCAGAAAGATCTCACTCCTCTGTTACAGGCATACAGGTTACTACCATGGTCAGCTGGTAGCGTAACCACTCTCATTTCACACACTTATATTTGTAAACTGCCATTTTTTCCTGTATTTATCTTTCAATTGAAATATTCCCTCTAAAGGAAAAAGAGGAAACATGCATGTATTTATTTTTGTAATTATGTGATAACAGTGTTTTGTGAGTAGTAAATTATCTTGCAGTACTGAAGGAGGATCAGATGAGAGGAAAAAGCCTAGTACTGGTATCAGTATATTGTCTTTCACAGGTCCATATTTGGACAAAACTCCTTAGCTGAATCTGAAGCTATTGCAAGAATGTTTTTGCTAAAATGAAAAAGGACATTGCAATGTGTTTGCATGCTACTTAATATCTAAAATAGTTACTTATGTCTGAGTGCACATTTTGGTATATGAGAGACTGGTCCTCAGTTGAACCCCGTGAATGTTCCTAATTTTTGCAGCTAAAATCAGTCAAGGATGCCAAATAATATTTGAATTAAACGAAAGAAAATGTTGCAAAATAAGATCTGGAAATAACAAATACGAACTACAGATAATATTATTTGTTTCAGCTGATATTTTACAGTTTTAAACTTTGTTATCACAAGATTGAAACTGAGGAAATTAAAAATCCCCAAAGTATAGAAATACAGTATTCTGCAGCTCACTTCTTTTTGAGATGAAAAATAATTTCTCTTATAGTGAAGTTACGCACAGTTTGGAGCGTGTTTGTTTGGGTTCTTTTATTTATTTATTTATTTACATTTAGGCTGTGGCTTCAAGCTGTTGGTCAGTCCTGAAGCAGAAGAGACAGCAAGTGAAGGTAAGTTGCCTTGCAAATTATGCTGACCAAAGTTACTGATCAGCTCCTAAGTATCTGAAGTTCTGTAGCTTTGGCAAAATAAATTACGTATCAATCCTTAATCCTGTAGTCATGTTCGTTTAAACAAGAGGCTGTCAGTTCTAATTTAGTTTGTGGAGCCCTAATACCAGTTTTTTAGCAAGAAGTCTTAGCTGAAAGATTTTCAGGCTAGTTTAGGTCCAGTGAGCAATGGTGGCAGTCACTTCTCTGACATAGCCCCATACATGCACCTCAGATTTTTGCAGATCAGGGTCATTAATCTAGTATCTTGCCTGCTTATACTGGGATACCCCATCTCCCTGCATCATCTCCACAGCTAAATAAAATTCAGTCCTGTCCCTTTACCTACCTGAAGTACCATTTACCTTGCCAGTAGCAAGAACACTATTGCAGCCTCCCTCAGCCCCTTTCTGCATGCTGACCTCTCAGTGAAGGAACTCTGAATGTTTTGAAGTAGAAATCCTCTTTGCCAGCAGCTCCTCACTTCCATCTTTAGAGGATTTCATTAGACCTAGGAGGCCTATCTCTGTATTAGCCAGTCCAAAAACAGAGTTGAGGCTTGCTGCAGGACATCCATAACCACTAGAAGTGGTATTGCATACGGCAGGTGAGGAATCTCTGCTCAAGTGATGGGCACTGACACCTTTCTCTGTTTCTAAGAATAGCTATTTGCATGACTTCTAACTGCTAAAGACATATTTCATCATAAAAAAAAGGTACTTCCAAGGGCAGTTGGTATTTTCTGAAAGGTCCTCAGCTACTGCTGTATCTTGGGAATTTTATACATAGATCTTTCCTACATTAATTTTATATAAAGGGATTATATCTCAAAAATAGATGTTATAGTAACCTGTTACTTTCATCTCTATTTCAATGCACAGCTACCTTAGCCTGTAGTTCCTTTGTGTATTGAAGTCTCAATATTTATAAGTTTGTAAATGTGTGAGTAACTTTACTCCTTGGGACAAGTTTCATCAGTGCTGCTGGAGATATTCAGAAGTGGATAAAGTAAAGCACCATGGAAGTCTTTGTAAGGGAGAGATTAATTGTCACAAGGAGTTTGATGAACTTAGACTCACTTACAGACAGTTCTTCATGTGGTATTTTATGCTTTAATTTATGATAATTTTATTTTTATGATTTTATAAATTAACTGATGTTGTAAAATTGTCTTTATAAGTGCATAAAATAAACTGTACGTCCATACATGAGACATGAATTTATAGTATATTTTACAAGTACCTGTAGGTTGGACATTCACAGGATGGACATTCACGTATATTTTGTGGTCTTCTGTAGACTTTAAAATGGATTCTTCTAAGGGGTAATTTTTTTCATTCAAAACTGTGCAGTTTTCAAGTTTCAGCTATGCATAGTGTATAGGGGCTCAAACAGGAATAAGAATATAATTATCTGTCATATGGGAGCGAGAGTAGATTGTTTATGCTGGTTTTGGGCTTATGCCTATTAATCTTCAAATATTTGAAGTACAAAGTACCACTGAAATAAAAATCTTTTCTACCAAAAATCATGCCTCTTGTTTGGTACAATTGCCCTGTAACTTAAAGGTTACCACAGCCCTGAAGTAGTAGGCGTTTTAGGCTTTTCTGAAGACTTAATTCATAGAGACTTATGCTATATTTACTGTGTAACTTTGATCTATAATTTTTACATCACCAGGTGCCTGATGGATTTTTTGCACATTTCTATGCTATATGTGAACATATCAGCCCTGTTTTGGCATGGGGCTTTTTGGGTCCTAGAAACTCCCTTTATGACCTATGCTGCTTCTTCAAGGTTTGCAACTTTTTTTTTATTACCATTTATCTTAATAAATAAATAAATCTTCCAGATTAAAAGAAATGAGGATCTTATTTGTAGGTGTTTTGTGTTTTCCAAAGATTAAGACTAACTGTAAGAAACCATGAAAATAAATGTTATAATATTAAATTTTTTTAAGCCTAGAACTGCTTTGCAAAGTCTATTTTAATGCACTTCTATTTTAGCACCAGAAGAATACATAAATGAATGGTTTTAGGAAATGTGTAAAGGAAATAGCATTGCATACTTTTTTCCTTCTTGTAAGTGAATACAAGTTTCTCCATTTTTTTTTTTTTTTTTTTTTCTCCCTCACTAGGATCAAGTGCTTTTCTTCCTCAAAGACATTTTTGATTTTGAAAAGGTGAGATACTCAACTATGGAGAGTTTGGCTGAAGATCTTATGCAATTATTAATCCGACACACTGAACTTTTAATGGCCTATCTTGGAGCAGATTCACTGAGACATGTCAATGCTTGTGTAAGTGGTCCTGGGCATGTCGTGACCAGTGGGCTCTTAGAAGCAAAAGTACAGTAAGCTTAAAATCATTGACAAATTAAATGGAGTGTTCCTGATATACTCCTTCCCACCTTTCTCTCTAACACCGAAGTTATCATTGCTGTTACTGAGCAAGCGTCTGAAAATGTATCATGTTGCTAAGTATGGAAAAGGACTCAGGGAGGTTAAATGTACGTCTGTGAAAAGAACTGGTGAGCATATTGTTGTATATACCTAAATTAAATTTGCAGCTCCGCTGTCACTGTATTTATACTTAATGTATCCCAAAGCTTTTTTCTGTAATATTTGGGTAAAGTTTATTTATGAAATACTGTACTTTTGCACAGATAATTTGTAAGTGAAGCTGATGGAGTTGTTTCTTTAAGGGCTTATAGTGCAGAATGCTCATTACAGAGTCCCCAAAACATTGTGTGTCTAAATCTAGGAGGTGTTTTGACTGGGGTATACGCAGTCTCTAATTCATGTGACACATGCAATAAACTAATCACACTCACAAAACTGAATGTGTTGCCACTGGCGTGAAATTACATTTGTTGTGGGTGTTAAGCAGTCATTTTGTACCACAGTGTAATGGAGTGATGCAGGTGCTGTTAGGGCAGGAATGACTTCCAGTATGCATTTTTCACTTTATTTTGTTTTAAAACAGCCAAACATCATGAAGGTGTTTGAAAGCACTTATTTATATTCAAAAAGCTGTGGTAGCTTCACCAGTTAATTTAAAACTTTTCCTTTTTCTACAACTGTTACCACTTTATATTTTGGTGTTAAACTAACGCCATTCTCAGTTCATATGTAGCATTTCAAAATATATTTTTAATAAGGATGTCTGATGAGATTTGTTAATCATGAATCAGAATTGAAGTCAGTGTTTTATAATTAAAAGCATTTCCATCTTCCTCCCTTCCTTGTAGGAAGTCAGGTGTCTTATTTAAGAGGAAGTGTAAGCAACTGTAGCTATGTATGTACAGTGTGAAACTGTGGCTCGGAATATGGAACCCTGAACTTTAGGTAGGAGTACAGCACAGTAAGAAGGCATGTGGGAATTTGCAGTAACACTTTTTCCTGTGCTAGAGGTAGGTAATAAATAATGATGATCTATAATCTTTGAATGCCTGTAAACTGAAACAATATATTGTAGTTAGTTTAGGCTCTTTAACTACATTTACATGTGCTTTGCCACAAAAAGCCAGCCCACAAGAGTCTATCCTGTGTCAAGTAATGAAGAGTAAGTAATAATAAAATATTCAGATGCTTAAGAAGCATGTTGTTAAAATGGAGCATATTGAAACACACTTTGATTGGAAACATTTAGACTTTTGTTTGAACACAACCTGAAAAGGTGATATTTGGAAAGGAGGGTCTGTGTAAGTCCATAGATTTCACTGCAGCCGACACATTTTCATCATTCTTGTATGTATCAAATGAATACAACAAAAGAGCAAAATGTCGGCTGTGGTTTGTTTCTCCACAAAGTGCGTCTTCAGTACAGAATGTGAAGTTTTCTGCACCCATCTCACTTAGCTTAAGCACACTTACCTGCTCAAAAGTAGCTATATTTTAGCAGTGTTTTGCAAGTCTATGAAGGAATTTATATGGAACAGTAAAGTGTCTCATTGGGTTTAGAATCAATAGGAATAGATGGAAATAGTAGTGGTGGAGTAAATGGCATATTCCACAGCAAATGTACTACCTGGAGGTTGCAAGATGTCAAAGAAAACTGTACGCTGTGGTTTGTCTGTTCTAATAAAATTCTATGAAGAAAATTACACCTTAATATTCATCACAGAAAACCAGAAATGCACTTTTCCACAGAACTAAATACATAGTTAAGTGAGAAAATTTCATATTATTTATATAAAGCTCATGAAGAAAGTGCAAGTGTTGCACATGAGATTATAAATGTTTCCAGATGATTTAAAAATCCATCTTGTGTTGAAACTGAAAGGATTTTCTTAAACAGAAGAATGAAAAAGGTCCAATGGAACACCAGAATGTCTGGAAAGTGGATAAGGACCTGAAAATATACAGCTTAAATAGATGTATGCTTTTAAAAAAGGAGCACTTCCATGCACTCATAGAGCTCCAAAGTCCATAGAATCAGGTTGGAAATGGAACTAACGTATTTCCCGTCCAAAATAAGAATTAAGGTATCTGGTTGTTGCAAGGTGCCACCAACAAATACTTGGTTGGGAACAGTTAAAGAAAGAGAAAAGAAATAGGGGGAGGGAGGAATGGAGACAGGGAGAGGGAAATGCACAGGTACACATGGACAGGCTTTTATCTCCTCTGAGTCTTTTTGGACCTTTTCCCGAAAAGCGTTTATATGTTCTTCCCTTCCTAATGCCAGAGACAGCTATAAATTCAAATGGGGGAAGGCTGCCTCTTTGTAACACAGAGCTGGAATCAGTTCTCCTATAAACCCAGGTTTGTACACCGCTGAGGGAAGGGGTGTGAAGAATGTCTGTTGATAACCAGCCATATGGCTTAAGCAAAGTCCTCTACCTTTGAAAATGCAAGTGCCAGAGCTGCACCAATGCAGTGGCACCAGGATGCAATTGTACTGCAGAGAATTCACAATCAAAATCAGAAATTAGTTTACAGTCTCTAAATTTTTAAATAGTTTTGAATGCCCTTTTCCCTGCTAATGAGTCATCCTCTTCTGCTATAGCTGTGCTCCTATGATCAGAAATGAATGTTGAATGTGTTGATTATACAAGAATCAAGTATTTATATAATTTGTAATTTAGTTGTAAAAATAATCTCACTTTAAATGTGTTCTTAATGATTATTATACTTCATTTTTGTAGTCTTCAGTTTCATCAGACAAAACATGTCAATTCGAGTGTCAGTTAAGTGTGTTTGTGAACTTTCTATTGCCAAAATGAACTGCTGCTGTGTGTATTGAATAAAAGGCTTCAGTGAAACAACTGTTGCTTCTACAACTGCTTCTACAACTTGGAACTGTTTAAACTGGATCAGAAATAAACCTGTGTGGTTTTTCTTCTGTGAAATGGTCCACAGCATTGAAAAGTTTTCAACGCATAGGCCAGTGATCCACCAAAAAGCCAAGTTTTGGTGTTTCTAGTTTTGCAAGTCAGAAAGTGAGAGTAAACAAGAGACCTTAATCTCCTGGGCAAACAAACCCCAGACTCAGGTTGGCTGTCACAGGCTGACAGTGGTTGTCGGTTGGCACAATCCCTGCCTGTGGTACTAACCAGGTTGGTTTTGTTGCATCTGTCTTTCTGTGCCAACAGGTTGTTTCTTGGGTTTGGGGGATGAGCTTTTTCAGGATTATTTCCAAACCCAAGGGCTACAGTGAGCTCCAGTCATGGAGTAAGATTTCCATTGTGGGGTAATATAAATGGAGAACACAGTGTCTAATGCTTACTGCTATAGAATTGTAGAATCATAGAATGGTTTGGGTTGGAAAGGACCTTAAGATCATCAAGTTCCAACCCCCCTGCCATGGGCAGGGATGCTTCACTCTATACCATGTTGTCCAAGGTTCTTTACTACCTGACCTTGAACACTACTGAGGATGGAGCATTTGCCACTTCTTCGGGCAACCCATTCCAGTGCCTGACCACCCTCACAGTGAGAGAACTTCCTTATTTCCTTATATCCAACCTGAACTTCCCCTGTTTAAGTTTTAACCCATTACCCCTTGTCCTATCACTACTGTCCCTAATGAAGAGTCCCTCCTGAGCATCCATGTAGGCCCCCTTCAGATACTGGAAGGCTGCTATGAGGTCTCCACGCAGCCTTCTCCTCCAGGCTGAACAGCCACAGCTCTCTCAGCCTGTCTTCATATGGGAGGTGCTCCAGTCCCCTGATCATCCTCGTGGCCTCCTCTGGGCTTGATCCAACAGTTCCATGTCCTTTTTATGTTGAGGGCACCAGAATGATGTGGGGCCCTCAGAAGGGCGATGTGTATCTGCTTTGAACTGCCCAACTTTATGTGTAACCTGTGTTCATCTGCTGAAAACTTACTTTACTGAGAGTGGGAAGCCCAACCCTCAACTGAAACCTTGCACCTTTGCCTCAGAAATACGGGTATGGCTCTTTTGAGGGTGGCACTGGGGGACAGTTCCTGCACTGTCCTTCAAAAGACAAACACATTTTGTGTTTTAATTTGGTGGCTGTTGCTCAGAGTTTGTAAAGCTTAAGGCCATGTGGTTATCATCCTAATAATCCAGTTGGAAGTTAGGCTCCAGCATGATAGACACAGTACAAGCGGGACAGGAAGAGGAAAGTTCTGCACTGGAGACTTTGTAGTTGTACGTGTAGGAAACAAGTCATCTTTAAGCAGGAAAAGGAATGTATTCTGGTGTAATAAATTCATGTTTCAGCCTCTGTAAAGTTTCCAGAGAAAGGCTGTTTCAAAGCAGACACTCTCCCTCTCGCCCGTCTGGCACTAGCTAGATTCCTCTCCGCTCCATCAGCTAACTGTCACATTACTATTATTAGTTGATTGCTCTCCATGTGCCATAGACGACCCAGGACCCGGCCACCGGGGGTATAAAGCTTCCCCGCTGGCAGGGCAGGACACCGCGGCAGGGGAGCGCTCTCGGCGCGGATCGCGCTTCTCTCCAGCTCCGGTTCGGGGCCGGGCGCGGAAAGCGGCGGCGGCGGCGGCCGAGCCTGCGGTGGCTGCAGGTACGTGTTGACAACCGGCCGCGGGGGGACGGGGCTGCCGCCGCCCGAGGCGGTGATCCCTGGGGACGCGGCCCTGGAGCAGCCGCGGCGGGTCAGCTCTATTCTAATAGCGGGCTGCGGGGCTGCGGGTGCTGGCTCGGCCGCTGCCCTGCGGCACGGACCGCGCGGCCAGGGGAGAGCTAGTGGGGAGCGGCCTCCGTGCCCCGGCTATTTATAGCTCCGCGGTGCTTCCAGCCCAAAATAAGCCTGTTGGCCCGGCGGCTGTCCGCGGCGGGGGGTGCGGGGTGGCGCGGCCGGGCTGTGCGGTGCCCCCCACCGCGGTGGGGGGCCGGCCATGGCGAGCCGCGCCGCAGGGCCGGGCCGCGGCCGAGCGGGGCCGGGAGCTGGGGCAGGACGGGACGGGACGGGACGGGACAGCTGCCGCGGCGCGGGGCTCGCCTGGAATGCGGGCGCCGGCCGCGCGTCGCGACTTTTATGGAAACTTGCCTCGCCGGAGCGGCTGCCGCAGCCAAGGGGCGCTCCGCAGCCGCCAGCCCGCCCGCAGGGAGCACGCCGAGCCGCAGCGGCGGGGCAGCGCTCACAGGTAAGAGCGGCTCCGCCGGCAGCGCAGAGGAACAGGGCTCCCTGAACAGCCCGGCCCGGCTCGCCCCGCTCTCTGCTGTGCGGCGGGGCCCGGGCTGCTGCCCGGCCCGCTGCCCGGCCCGCTGGAGCCCGGCGCCCATCGTCAGGACCCGCCGCTGGTGGCCGGGCCGAGCGGCAGCCCCGAGGTGCCTCGGGAGAAGCGGCCGCCGCGGACGGGGGCCGCAGGCAAGGCCCCCTCGGTCGGGGCGGCAGCCGGCGGGGCAGCGCCGGGCTGAGGGGCAGCCGTAGCCTCCAGCAGGCGGTAACGGGATGTGCCGAGCGGAGCTTGCGGCGCCGCCAGCCCCGGGGCGGGGGGACTCTCACGGTCGGGCGGGGGGGAGGGGGCCGGGGCTCGGCGCTGCGGCCCCGACGAGAGCTTCTCGGAGCTGAGGTGAAGGGAAACGACCGCAGGTGGGGCTTGTGCCGGGCAGCGCTGCGGAGCCGAGCGGCGGCAGTGGGGAGAGCCCGGGCAGCGGTAACGCGGCGTGTGAGGGGACGCGGGAGCGGGGCTGCCTCCCGTGACGTGCGCTTAATAAAAGTTGGTATAAAATCCCCTTTGCTGATGAACCACGTCTGCACCGAAAGAGGGCTCGGCTTTGGTGGTGGGGTCTTCAGCAGCAAAGGCGTCCGCATGCGTCTGTAGGTTCTGCTTCGTCCTGAGGTGATGACTGCAAGACAGCGTGGCTGGGGAGAAAATACTGGTTACCTGTGACAGCTTACAAACTATGTGTTTACTTGTGTTAGGCAAATAAGGGCTTGTGCTGACACAAGAAACAGCTGCGAAAACATGTTTAATGAAACGAGTTCGTATTTTGGAAATCAGACAAGGCGCTACTCCAAATCTTAGCACTCAGGTCTTAAAGAGACCTTAAATCTCTCTGTCCATTGAAATGAAATTGTAAAATAGTAATTAGTCTTTTAAGAGGGCCACGTGTATTAAGGAACATACAGAAGCATGAGAGTATGTCCAGTATATGTAGAAGCACAGCCTGGTGAAATGCAAGATCTGGTCAGATGGTTTAAGACGTGCCTAAGAAATATCCTCTCTAAGGGCATTTGGAATGTTTCAAATGAGTAGTTTCCTCAGCAGAAGAAGTCAGACAACCTGTCATTTGCCATACTTGCATATTCACCTTTGAAACTCCTTTGACAAGGAACAGTGCCATGGTGAGCCCTCTGGAAGCTGTGGGGGAACAAAAAGGAAGGCTAAGGGCAGTGGAAGAGAAGTTTGGGAAGCAACAGTAGGAGTGACCCTCTGCTGTGCACCAAAGGCAGCCATACCCGCTCGCATGAAGGTATTACACACGATCCGGTTCTTGCAGGCATCAGCATTACCAGGAGAGTAGAGTTGGTCAGGTGGAAACAGCTCCAGGAAGCCAGGAGACTGCTTCTTTGTGGCAGAAGCATAGCACAGGCACAGTGACCACCACAGTGTGCAGTCTGAGTTGACCATGAGGATTTAGGAGAAGAGGCAGATAGGCTGTGTCCTGCCATTGGAGAAGGGAGAAAGCAGACTGCAGTAGCTCTTCGTGTCCAGAATTTTATCCCACATTTCAGTACCCTGATTCCTGCAGCCCTGTCAGTGAGCAAGAGATGAGCTCAAGTCACACCACTTCTCTTCAGCTGCTGTGACACAGCGGGGGATGGAGGAACTGTGGCATGGGGCAGCATGCTGCTTCTCTTGGGGACCTCAGTTCACAATTTACTGTCACCCATGATTAGGATCAATGGATATCTTGGAATGCGGTATCTTGGGCCAGAAGATCTCAGCAGGGCTTCCCTATAACCGAGCAGTCTTTCAGCCCCACTATGTTTGCTCTGGAGCTTATGTACCCCATAATAGTCCCTGAAGAGACTAAGAAATTAACAAACAGACCTTTTCTACAGAGAAAGATGATATGATTTTTTAACACAGCAGTTGGACTGCACAGTACTGTACATTAAGAGTATTTATAGTCATATAAACATAGACAAAATCCGTAATAATGAATATATTTTAATAATAACATCATACCTGGAAGAACTATTCTGAGACTCTCAATAAATATTGAAGTGAAATAAAATTAATGATTGAAGAAAATATTGTGTATAGAATTGGAAATTGGATTATGTGGGCCAGTGGTTGGTAAGTGTTCTAGTCTGTAACTAGAAAGACTTAATGAAGGTAATACAATCGATTGGAGGTAGCTTTGTATCTTGTGTTTTACAAAACGTGAAGCTTAGGCAGCTGGTGTTAACTGTCCTAACTCCTTGGCTTCAGTGGAGCTGATGGTTTATGCTGGTTCAGAATCTTCCCTCATGCGTGATAATTTTAGTGTCTACTTTAGTATCTGTAATTTAGTACAACAACTGTCGGTGTCATTCCAGACCAGTTACGGTAAGGACATAAATGATGGACACGGCTCTCTTTCCCTCCTCCTCCCAGTTCTGCTTAATATTTTCTTAAATACTTTAACACAGCGGGCTGTGTTTTCCTCTCCTGAGTGTTTTGGCTGCAAGTAGTGAGTTTCCAGCCCTCACAATATGGTTTTCTTATATAATGGAGTCTTCCCTGCAAGTAGATTGCAAAGAGGAGACAGATGGTAAACGTAACTTAGACTGTGCTGTGAAGGGCTTATTTATAACTCACAGTAGCCGTAGGACAGCAGGGG